CCGTCAGAAGAACCTGTGCTGTAACACCAGTTCCTCCTGTGTTGGTCTCTGGAATGGCTGCTTACCTCCCTGCAGAAGCCCATTTGGTGGGCGAGAGGGAGGATTTGGGACGGTTGGGGAGTGACGCTGAAGAGCCAAGAATACTTTGTTATCAGTCCAGGTTCATGTGGCTTTACTCTGTGTTGCTTCACATTTAACTGTTTTATTCTCTGGCTGTTGGCCAGTCCTCTGACCTTGCCTGATGCTTTCAGATGGCAACATGGGCTCATTAGACAGTTGACCCTTTTTAGGCTTGAGCAGGACCCAGTTTAGGTTCAGGTTGTTGACTGTTCTAGAAGTGGATTTTCAGGAACATAGGAGTGTGTTTATGTGTTTTCCCCAGAAAATCAAGAACTGATGGTAAACAGAAACATGAAAAACCATTTCAGTTACTTGAGTCTTAGTGAAACATCAGTAATTCATCCCTGTCAACCTAGGTGGGTAGCTTATCCAACTAGTTCTGTCTTGTTCTTCTGAACTTGAACTTGCCATCCTGGATCTGTTCTTCTGCCAGAACATAAAGGACCAGGCTGAAGTTCTGAAAGCATCCCTCCTTCATCCTAAGACAAGTGGGAGCATCTCTTGAATAAGACAGCAGTCTCAGGCACTTATGTAATAAAATACTTTATTAATCGGTTAAAATAATATCCTTCACATATAGCTAAAGTGCAGTTTCTCTCTATAGTACAGAGCAAGCATTTCTGTCAGGCTTCCTTGGTGTGCTTATAAATCCAAGATGAGAAAAGAGTTCAGGTTTAAGAAACACCTTACGGCAGCATACAAGTATGAAAATATTTCTTATAAAGGTTTGAATAACTATCAGGGCCATTTCATACATCTTTTCGCTTATTTTTTTTAATCCTTCAGAAAACTACTCTGAATGTGCTTATTATACAATTAAAGTTATAGACACTTGCTACACCAGAATAGTGACCTCATTACTTTCAGGATCTGATTCTCAAATCAGAGACAACACTTTGTATGTATTCACCATCATTCAGACACTGACCAAGTGCAGGGCCGTGTCAGATGTCACGGGCTCTGTCACTGGACAAGAACCCAGTGATTTCCAACCATTCTGACTCTAAATAGCAGCAATCGTATAGGCACCTGTGCCATATGATTGAGAGAGAAGATTCTTTCTACTTCCATAGAATGACAGCTTGGAAACTTGGCTGTATTACCCATAACATTATATCATTTTACAACTTGCTAGAAAAATAAGGCCACTCCAAGGCAATCTGTTCGGCTCCCCTGAAGGGATGCACGACCGTACAATGGCTGTGGGAGGTGGGTGTCAGGTCAGTCGGGATAAGGCTGCATGACAAAAGGGACACATCCTGGCTGTGGTCAGAGGTTTTTCCTTGGTTCAGTAGAAACTGGCACTCTAATTCATAATCAGAAATGCTTATTTGGTGTTGATGTGGCATCTGTTTTCTCAGATGTGTTCTTCAACATCTACGTACATAAGATGTTAAACTCAGAGTAGGGGTGAGGGCAGACTCGCCCACTTGCACAATACCTGATTTGCAGCGTGATTTAGTTGGGTGACAAACCCAGAGAACTTTTAAGACTAAAACATGTGGTCTGAGTTGCTGCAGATGAAATGCAAGAAGCGTTGACACACACAGAAGACCAGGCCGGCCTCTCCCCTGTTCTTAATTAGAAAAATAGTCTTGATATGGAAAAATAACAGCCTCTGGCACTTGAGTTTGCAAACTTAACTATGGCTCAAAGAATCTCCCTTGAAATAAACAAGGTATCTAATTAGAAATGTGGTCAACATTCATTTCGTACCTTGAAAGTTTGCTCTAGCAGTAAGAATTAGTCACAACACTCATCTCTTTGTAGGGAGCACAGACGTCTAAAAGCAAGCTTTCAGTCATTTCTCAAAGCTGGAACTCGGTCCTCCCCAGGACTGCTGAGCTCCCAGGCGATGCCACAGGGCCTCTCAGCCAGTTTCACAGAAAGACTGGGAGGAGTTACTGCAATGGCTCTGGACCTCGTCCCACAGCTGCTGGCCTCCCCCCACCTTAGTGCAAATTCTGCTCCAGAAGCTGTTCTGGTCACACAAGGAGCAATGATGCCCCCAAGCCTGCTGGGACCCCCACAAGAATAGGGGCCACCAGCACACACAGCTGACACCACACACGTAGAAGCTCAAAAGAAAATAAATAACTTGGCTGAATTATAAGTTATCCTAGAGACAAGGCTTAATAATTTAGTTTTTTTCCGTTTTAACTAAAAAACGTTTGGAGGTAAAGAATGTTTGAGTTCCTTATCCGTCTCCCTTTGCTTTGGGAGACGACTAGGTTTCTAGAAATGCCATGTTTCTTGGATATTTTCCCCCCGGGACATCCCTTGTCACCAAGGGAGGATTTAGAGGGTTAGGGCTTCACGGGCAGCGTCTCCTTGAACCCAGAGTGGTTGGGTCTGGCCTCCGGCAGTGCCACCGGGTACTCCGTTGTGGCAAAGAGCAGGGTGTCCAGGGTGGTCTCCGTACACTTGGCGATGAAGCGAATGAACGGCCTCACGTCGCCTTCGTTGGCGACTTCCAGTACGTGGTAGTATTCGGATCTCTGCTCCTTGCGGATAGTGATGGGCGGGTAGCCCGCCTGCATCAGGATGAGGTTCATGAGCAGGCGTGAGGTCCTCCCGTTGCCGTCGATGAAAGGGTGGATGTAAACGAGTTTATAATGCGCCAGGGCTGCAAACTCAACCGGGTGCAGGCTCATGGCGTCCTCGGAGTTGAGCCACTGGACGAACTCCTGCACCTGCTTCTCGACATCCTGGGGATGGGGAGGCACGTGGTGCCCCACAAGGACCTGTGTCGTCCGGAACCTGCCGGCTTCCACCGGGTCCACATACCCCAGCACGCGCCTGTGGATCTCCAGCACGTCGCTGATGGTGACGGAGCCGATGCGGGAGACCAGCGTCGCGTTGATGTACTTCATTGCCGCGTGCAGGCCGATCACCTCGTTCTGCTCCTCCAGGCTCTTCCCCGGCACGGCGTAGCGGGTCTCGAGGATGTGCCTGATCTCCGACAGGGTGAGGGTGTTGCCCTCAATGGCGACTGTGTGGTAGATGTGATGGTAGTACGTTTCCTCCATGACCCTGCGCAGCGCGGAGTTGCCCTTGGGGATGGACATGACCTTCTTCACTTTGCTGTCGATGATGCTGAAGTACCTCTGGTCGATCTCCTCCACCAGCGGCAGCGTCCGGTCCCGGTTGACCAGCGCTTTCTCATGGTAGGGTGAGATGGTCAGCGCTCGGGTGTATAAGTAATCCGCTTGGATGATGTCCTTGTCTTCTTCCGAGAAGATGCCAAACTCGTTGAGCGCGTCTACGAAGTCCGGGTCCATCTTGAGGGCGTGCAGGAAGAGCCTGTGGGCTTTCTCCCGCTTGCCCTGGCGTTTCATTTCCAGGGCTTGGTTCAAAGCTGCTCTGGCTTCCAACTTACCAGCTAGAAAAGAGCCGAAGAAGCACTGTCAGGGAGGGCAGGGAGTGGCAAAGGACGTTCGGGGGAGCTGTCACCTGTGCCTCGGGGGCTCATTCCTGCCACGCCTGCCGCACACGCGCTTCAGCGTGCCCGGGAGCACTCTACATAGATGGCCACATTTGTTCCCTCAGCCCTGTGGGGTGGCATCCCGGTCATTGTCCATTTGTCCCCAGGGCTTCTCTGTACCCTGGGAGGCATCACCTGGCTCCCCGGCCCCCTGCCTTCTCACTATGAGTGGCTGTGTTCCTCTGCGGCCACGGCCGTTCTGTGATCAGTCCTGGTGATGCTGGTCCCTGCCCCCATCCCTGCTGTGAACGGCTCCCCACTGGTGCCAGGCCCTGGGGCTTCCCCGTCCCTCAGCCCTTCTTTAATTCTTTTAAGCTGCTTCTCACCCAGGGGGTGGTTTTGCCCCCCAGGAACATCTGGCAATGTCTGGAGACGGGGTGGGTTGTCACAGCTGGGTGGGATACTACTGGCATCTGGTGGGTAGAAACCAGGGATGCTGCTCGACATTCTACAATGGACAGGACAGTCCCACAATGGAGAACAGTGCCGAGGTGGAGAAACCCTGCTCTACATCGAGCCCTCCTTCCCCAGCCCCCCACTGCGTGTCAGCCACACATACTGGCTTCCTTGAGTTCCTCAAGGGCATCTTACCCTCTGGTCTCTGCCCGGAGCACTCTCCCCTCATGCCTTTTCCCTTGGGTCCCTCCTACTTACACTCAGCTCAGTCATCCCCTCCTCCAGGGAGCCTTCCGGGTGTGCTCCTATGGCCCCTACACTTCCCCACCAGCACACTGGCACCGCTGTGGCTCAGTCACCTGTCAGCTTGTCTAGGCTGGGTGCTCAGGGCTGACGGGTTCACCATAACAACCTCGCGCCCTGCACGCAGGACACAGTAGGCATCTAAACATCTGTGGAATTAACAAGCATTGAGGAGAGAGGGCCAGTCTGTCCTACCTGGAGAGGCCTTGGTCTTGACCACGAGCAGCGCCGAGTCCCTGGAGGTGATGCTGAGCTCCGTGGATGGGCTGGTGCGCTTGGTGACGGCATGCTGCGCCCTGTCCCACTTGCTCCTGAGCAGGTAGAAGCCTCTGAGCACGGCCAAACACTGCTCCTCCACGGCCCCCAGCGGCAGCAGCAGAGCCAGCAGGGACCCCAACACCATGCTCAGCAGCATCACCCACAGGAAGCGGCCCCAGACTGAGACCCATTTTGGTTCAGTCACCGCCATCACTGAAGCCATTGGCATGAGTGTCATCTGGACTCGGGGGGGGCCCTGGCACATACCCAGTCACCTGAGAGACAGCAGGATCTGCAAGGAACCAAGAGTTGTAGAGATGAGGCCTACACTGAACTGACACTTCAGGATATGTTTCCGACTTCAGCTGGGGCTTGGAACCACCCCCCTCCTTAATTCACTGACCAGGCAGGGGGGGGCAAGGCAAGGATATCACTGGGAGGGGGCAACCTGGAAGGACTGTGCCACCTCCAGGGCAGTCTGACTGTGTGACAAGTAATGCCAATGCCAGCCAACATTTATTGAGCACTTACTATGTGCCAGGCCCTGTGCTAAGCACTAAGGACCTCATGCATACTATCTCTTGCAATCTTCAACAGGAGCTGATGCTGTCGTCACCCCACTCTCCAGAGGAGGAAAGAGGCTCAGAGAGGTGAAGTTCCTAGCCCAGAGTCACCCCGTGAGCAAGTGACAGCCTCAGCCATGGCTCTAAAAGGGTCTCCCCGCTTCACCACAAACCTCTGTGGCCTCCGACCCCAAACACTAGGTGTCCAGGACACAAATAACAAACACACACACATATCCAGAGGGGCCAAGGCAGTTGTGAGGCCTACTCATCGATAAGCACAACTGTTTGGTTGCCTGATTTACAGCAACATGAGCGGCCTCCTCTTCCTGCCCTCACCCTGATATTAGCCACAAGGCTGATCCCCTCTCTGGCCTTCCTTTCCTGAAGGATCCCGCCTAGAGTTGAGGCAGTCCGGCATCTCAAAAGGAACTCGGGCTGTGGGCCACAGTGGGTGCTCGCCCTCTGTGACAACAGGCATGTGCTCGGGGCTGTCAGTGGGAGCAGGGGGCCAGGCAGGCAAGCACCATTATGCTAACAATAAGCATTTATTGGGCAACCAGGGTGTGCTGAGCGCTAGCCACACATTATCTCACTTAATCCTCACCGCCCTATGAAAGGAAGCCAGCCCTAGCTCCATCTTACAGACCAGGGAAACTAAGGCACAGAGAGGGTAAGTCAACGCCCAGAAGGCCCAGAGAGTCAACAGAGGCATCAGGAAGGAAACCCCGGTGCGTCTGAGTCCAGAGTGCCCGGGCCTTAACCTCTATCTTCTGATTCATAACCAGAGCCCGCGCACCTGCTCCGGGCTGCTCCTGGTGCTGGGCCTCCAAGGCCCAGAAATGACTGATGAGGTTTGTGGTCACTCCGGGCTTCGAGACCAACGGGGCTCGTTGATACAGAACATCTGAAAAGGCCTGGACGGGCTCCGATGTGGGTACAGAAGAGGGTGCGGGTCACTGCTTGGTCCAGGGGGTCTGGGCGGGTTCCCCGAGGGACAGGCTCCTCGACGGGCTCGAGTTCGCCGGGGACGCGGGATGCGCGGGGGAGGAAGCAGTGCGCTCCGGCAGGCGCGAATCTCTGACCGCTCACCACCCCGGGAAGGGGGAAACTGAGGCCCAGGGAGGCGAGGGGACTGGACTAAGGTCCCTCTGAGGAGCCGCCCCTTTCCAAGCCCCGCCCAGGGCTCGCCGCCCCGCCGCGCCCTCCCTGGCTCGCTCCTTCTGACCCCTCGGGCTCGCCCCCCACTCACCGCGCGCCGCTGCCGGGCCCCGCCACCGCCCCCCAGGCGCTCCACCGGCTCCCGGGACCTCCGCCGCCGCCGGCCTTCTGGCCCCGCCCCCCGCGGCTCGCCATTGGTCGGTCCGCCATCCTCGTCGCGGCGGATTGGCTTCCCCTACTTGTCCGCCCCTCGTATTTCCGGGTTCCCGCGTCGGCGTCTGCTTCCCCGGGAAAGACTCGCCGTGGGCCACTCCCATTGGCTGGCTCCTGCGTTGGTCTCGTGCTCGCAGCAGCCAATAAGCAACAGGAGGGGCGGGGCCTGGGCGACAAGGCGGGAGCGGCGGGTGCGGACAGCCCGGGTGGCTGCGGTTTTGGGGCGCGGTAGGGGCCGGGCGTGGGAACTCGCAATTCTGCTGGCCTAACTGCTCCCCCTCGTCCCGGGGCCGCTCTCGTGGGCCTCAGTTTCCTTAGGGGTAACATAGGGATGCTGACGGTTTACACATCTTGGTCTGACTTCACAGCCCCTGTTCTTAGCCTCCACTACCAGGGTTGCGATCCTTCCCCTTTTTCTCTTAAACTTCTCTCTCTCTTTTCCTCCCTGACTTTTTAATTTGCATCCTCTCGAGAAGGGCCCGGCTGGTCCTTTTGGCTTCCCAGAGAGACAGAAGATTTTTCCTTGAAGCAGAGAACTGAAACCTTCATCTGAATGCGCAAATATTGGACTTAAACATCCGGGGACGTGCCCAGGAATGCTAAGCATTAAGATGTTAGCAGTGCAGCTTCTGGAGTCAAAGAGACTCAGTCTCAGATTCACACTTTGTCACCTAAGCTCTGTGTGACCTTGGACAAGTTACTCTGAGCCTCAGTTTCCCCATCTGTAAAATGAGGACCAACAGCCTACCTCACTTTTGCCCTCAAGTTCAGGATTTGCAGAAGGCCTGACACCTCAAGATCTGACGTCCTCCATGACACACATGCCCCTTGGGAGCCAGTGCCAGGCAGTGGTTGTGAGTGTCGCTACTGGAGCCACTCTACCCTGGGTTCAAATCCCAGCTCTGCCACTTGCAAACTGAGTTACATTCCGCAAGTGACTCAACCTCGCTGATGCCCTTTTTGCTTTTCTGTAAGACGCGGATAATGTGAGGATAGTTCCTCCTCATGGAGTTTTGTGTGAGGGCGAAGTGAGATCCCACACGTTGGGCACAGGGCAAACAGCAGATAAATATCAGCTGTTGCAATGATTCCTAGAAAATATAGCAAGTCATTACTGCTTTATCTGTCATCTGCAGAAGAAACTGTCAGAGCTGCAGGCTGCTCCAACCGCTGGGGAGAGACCACAATGCCCTCTCGTAGGTCTCCGTCAATTCCAGTTTAGGGAAGCCAGTGACCCACAGCACAAAGTGAAGTGTCCAGGCCCAGGCCAGGAGAGTGCTGTCATGAAGGACACCATGGGGGGACCTTGCAAGGTGAGGGATCAAAGAGCCTTGGCCTTGCCTGTTGGACGCCCTGTTTATATCTTGTAACTGGCCCCTATTCACCCAACTCCCAGCCCTTGGCATGGAGCGTGGCACTTAGTAGATGCTCGAGAAATTTTGTTGACTTGAATTCAGGAAGAAATATGGTGAAACAGAACAAACTATGGAGTTTTTAAGAAACAAAATTAGGATGGTGGTTATTTCTGGGGAACATTGTTCTCTCTGAGTCCCCTGAATTTCGCTTCTGATAGCCCAGGCAGTAATGTCATTGTAAAAACCTCCGGAGGAGGGCCTGCTATGCAGCCAGCTCATTATGGGGAATGGTTGGGGGAGTGGAAAGCAGTGAGGCTCTGGGGTCAGACAGATGTGTGTTCAAATGCAGGGCCCACCACTTGCTGGCTGGGTGATCTTGAGCAGGTCACTTACCCTCACTGATCTGGGTATCAGGGGGCTTGTGGACCTCTGTGCCCTCCCAGTTATAAGGTGATGTAATCATATGCTTTTAAAGACCCCCATCCTCTTTCCATTCCTTGAGACGCCAGTGGAACCCCTTTAATGAGCTTAGGGCACCAGCAAATCCAGAAGCTGCACAAGAACCAATAGTGAGTAAAACTGCCTGGGTGTGAGACAATAGGGAGAGGTGGGGAGTGCGGAGAATGTGAGGGCACCTGCCTCGTCCAAAGTGGGCAGCAGCTTCTCAGCTCCAGCTTACATTTATGATGCTGAGATACAGGCCAACAGTGGACAGATTTTCCAATTTTTCAAAAGAAATGTCGGGCCTAGATTTTTAAGCAAAATCTCCAAATTTTTAAACAGTTGGCATGTCTGCCCGCTGGCTACAGAGAGCTGCCAGATTGTAATCCCTGTTTTAAGTTTTAAAAATGGGCAGGAGATGGTGGCAGGGTACACAGGAAGAAACACAGCAAATGACTGTCTGCAAATGATCGCACCACTGTCTGTGGACACCAGGGGGCAGTAATTCACCTGGCATCACTTCCTCCTTTCAATCCCCTTGGCAGATTACGCTCAATTTTCTCTCCTAACATTGTCTACATTCAGCTGTGTTGAATGCACAAAATATGGTCCCTGAAGCGATATTGAAACCTTGTCTTTCTCCATCTTAAGCATTCTGTATTGGGTGGAAATTGCCTCCCCGTGGCCCACGGAGGAGTTTTCTAAAAGCTTACCTTGACACTTGACAAAGAACCTGGAAAATTGCTGCAAGGGAAACGTGTCCATTATGCAAAACAAAACACAAAAAAAACCATATACATCTTTAAGAAACAGCAGTCAGGCGCTTCGTGTTGGCAGAGTCGGATTCTATTGCTTAGGAACACAAAACTCCCTAACTTGAGGCTATATTGCATTGGGAGAGCTTCAGAATGACTCAACTCCACTGAAAAGAAAATACACCACACCGGCTCTCTCCCCGCTCCCTCCCAGGTTCCTTTCATTTCCCAGGCTGCTTGAATTTTTTTTATTTTGCCTTCTAACTTAATTGACTGCTGATTAATCCTCCTTATTATGCGTACCCAGTGGGGTCAGTCCCCATTTCTGAGGCATTCCCAAGAGACAGAGTTTTGGGGACCCCATTTGGGTGTCCCTGGGCTGATGGCTCACGCTCTGGACTCAAGATGTTCCTCATGTAACACGGTGTTGAATTGATTTTCACCAATGTATTGGATCTCAGACATGCAAATAAGTGTTGTTTTTCGGAACAAATTACTTGGGGAAGCGATATTTCTTCCTTTCAAAAAATTAAACATAACCACTTGTTTTTTCTTATTAAATAACCGACTATTTTATTTCTTAAAAGCAAGATGGGATCATTATAGATAGAAGGGACAAATAAATAAGAAAAAAACCCGTGCACAATTGTGCTAGATATTTTTTATGCACATCTATTTTTTTGTTTTTTTATTGATGTCTTAATAGTTTATAACATCGTGAAATTTTAGTTACATATTATTATTTGTCTGTCACCATATAAATGCCTCCCTTCAATTCTTGTGCCCCCACCAACCCCCTTGCCCCTGGTAATCACCAAACTGTTCTCTCTGTCTGTGTGTTCGTTTGTACTCCACATATGAGTG